GCCGCGCCTGTGTTAGGGAGGGCGCCGCAGCCGAGAGGGTTCCGCCCCTGGAGCCGAGCCGAGCCGAGCCGAGCCGAGCCGGCCCGGCCCTCTCCTCTCTTCTCCCCTCCCCGTGCCGGGCCGCGGGCACCGTCGAGGAGGGCGAGGGCCGGGCCGGGCCGGGCCCGAGCTAGGCGGGGCGGGGGGTAGGTGCCGAGGAGCCTGGGGAGAGCGATCAGCCTGTTAATTGCTCCGCGTCAATTAACCTGCGGCACCTGGCTCGCCCGGCTGCCGCTCCGTGGTCTGCCCTCCGCTCCCCGGTGCTGTCCCCCGTAGAGCAGCGCGGGCCCGGTGGGTTTCCAGGCTGCAGAGCCTCTCCGCCCCCCGCCTCCCCACCTCGGCACCCGTCGTGGAGGGGCTTCCTCAGGGGGCCGCTTCCCGCCCGGGACCCAGCTCGGCGCGGGGCGGCCAGCGCCGTCCCGCTTTGACCTTGAGCAGATAAGGGCTGTGGGCCTCTTTCGGGTCAGGTTCCTGGCTGGCTGGCTCGGCTGCTGGGGTGGTTGCCTGTGGTGTTTGGAAGGGTACGTGGGGCATTCGGCTGTCCCTAGTTTGTGTTAGCGCGGGGTTAAATTTCATCTGTTGATGCAGAGGTGGCCTTAAATCTTGTGATGCCCACCTGAAAGGCATGAATATATGACAGCTTCTGCTGTTAAATGTTTTTTGGAAATAACATTTGCATACCTGTAATAATAAACAGAAAAGCCTAAACAATTTATCTCTTTAAGTAGCCTAAAACATGCTGGATAGGGGGTGCAGGTTTTGATGGGCTTGTTCTGGGTGACTCAACCCTTGTATTTTTGTTGCTGATTAGCAAGAACCTTTGCACTCCTGGATCTTCTTTCTATATGCAGTAATAGTGAACGTGTTATGATTCTCAGGTTAGCTGCATAATGCAATACCTAAATTCTAGCTATAGGAGTGCGAAGTAGTGGGAAGACTCTATCTAAATAGTAATGGGCTAGATGCTTGCAGGAAATAAGGGGGCATAATATAAGGTTGAAGATCATAGTCTTTCATTTTGTTGCCAAGCCTTGGTCTGTATGTGTGAAATACTTATGCTGGCCTGGCTGTCAGTTTCGCTTATTTTTTTGTTTGAAATGTTGGTAACTTTTCAAAAACAGGCTGAAATACAGTAAACCTTTTGCAGGTCTAATAATAGCGTGATGTCTAAATGTTGTGATTATCCAAAATGTACACTCATTTTTAATATAACATGTGTGAATGTCATGTGGAGGTATGTCAGTTTGGAAACAGGCGGAGTGTCAACACTATAAATCCTGGTTTTGTTTTAATTGAAATGAGAATAGGCTCTCTTAGGAACTAAGCAGCCTTTAAATGAGAGATGGGGAAGGAGAGACTGCATTTGTAACTTACAGAATGTCTTACTTTCCCAACTTGTAGCACCTGTGACAGGAGATGATTAAACAGCATCTTGCAAAGACAAGTTATCCTACGTCTTCCATTAGTGGAGTGGCTGTGCATTCGAGTGGATGCTTATGTTCACAAGTTAGGCCATGTTTATACTGGTAGTGCTTTTCTTGTGTAAAAATACTGGCATGTTACACTGACCACTAGAAATACTTACCACACACACAGCAAGCTACACAGGTAAGAATGCAGCCTGTCTGGCGTAAATGGGCTCAGCCTGCGTTCTTCTGCCATTGTTCTCCGTTTGAATAAGGGGAGGCCACTTCCGTGTGTTCATCGCTGGCTTAGTTCTTTTGACCAGAGTTACTGCTGTCCACCTTTACTGTCTTTTTGCTTAGCTGGGAATGGCTGCTTGGCCTGGGCTGACTTAAAATGCTTGTTACTATGCTACTTTTTTTTCTTTTTTACTTCGGTGGAGCTATATTCTATTAAATATGCCGTACGTAGAAGAGAACCAAGAAGAGGTATGAAGTATGTTGTAAAAAAAACCTGGTGTGAAAATGGTTGAGAAAAATAGGAGATGGAAAAGCGACTAAATTCAATGATACCTGCTAAAGCATGAAATAGAAAAATGGAAGTAATTTATTTGAATGCATGTAAATTGTCTTTCAGATTAATAATTATGTTGCCCTGACTTGTGGCTGAAAAGAAGTGGAATGATAAATAGAAACACTAAGCGATATATTTCCGTCTGAGAGCCTGGGGAGAAGAAACCCTGCAGGATCAATCATTTTTCCCCAGTAACTGAAACAAGAAATGAGAAGAAAGCACCAAAGAGACTCAGTAAATGATTTCACTAGTCAACACATCTCTTATTTTTATCAGAAACTTGTACTTCAATATAAGCATAAAAAATTATGTAAAGCCAAGGAACGGTGCTTTGCCTAATTTGGTTTCTAGTATCATTTGCAAAAATCAGAGGGAATTTAACCTTATATTTATGTCTTTTCTGTCTTACTCCTAAGGATAAGGAGAGAGAACAAGTTTTGGTCCAGCCGCCATTTTCAGAACAGTCAGAAAAAGATTCTACTTTACAGATTCCTTTGAAATCCATCTGCAGAATATGTGAAATCTGATGCATTGCAAAATATAACCACAATCTAGATAATGTGTAGGTATAGGTATGGCATATGATGCTATTTCAGAATTAAAATCAGAATAAAATAATAGAAATTAGTTGAAATTTGAAGTGAACGAATTAGCAATATCTTAGGACTTCAGGGTATAATAAAAAAGGAAGTTGGACAAAGTCTTGCTCAAATGCATTGTATTAAAAGGCTACCCGAGTAAGGCAGTGATAAGGATATGAGAACTTCTGACATATTTTCATGAAAAGAATTATCAGGGTTTTGGAGACAGAATGTTAAACTCGCCTGAAGGTACATATTATTAGAACGATGGGTATGGATGAATAAAAGGTTTGTCTAAATCTTCAATTTTAAAGTTATTGTGAGCAAAGAATAAATGAATAAATTATCAGGCCACCATTTTTTTTGTTGTTGTTAAGATGGTAGATTAAACCGTGTATTGGAATATTTAAAGAGATGTCACTATGTGAAGGTGCAGTATTACCCTGGAAGCAAGGCTTCTCCCCCAGTAGAGGAGAGTGCTGCAAGCATAATGTAAGACAGTAAAACTTGCGTACATCCTATTTTTTGTCTGCTAAGCTGAAAAGTATCCGGAAGTTGGCAAACTCTCCTTTACAGCAAAGTGTAGTACAAATCTAGGTTTAAACATAGTCATACTAGTTTGAGTTGGTTTTCATTATTACATTTGTTACGGCTGTTTATTTATTTCTTTATTTTAAATATATTACTATATTAACGGGATTTACTGGTTTGCTGAGAGTAAAAAATAAGCAAGAAAGAAAAAGAATACCTCAAGTCTT